TGGAAAGCTGGATGGCGCCGCGACCTCCTCCTCCCCTCCTTCTTCTTTCTTCCTCCACAAGTTTGTTTTTTGTCTGCCGCCCCCCCCCCCCCCCCTCCGGTAAAAGCTCCAGTGCAGTCAGTGTATTACCTTATTTGGTGCGGAGCCCCTAATTGTAACACTGGAGAGATGCTTCAGTCCGCTGTTGCTGCGGCTGAGGTGCACGCGGAGGAGCGGGCTCGTGAGTGACAGCCCATAAACAAACTTAATGTGTATGAAGTGAGATGGAGGGATGGATGAGCTCGTGGCGTTTCCATCCAGCTTTCCATTATCTCCTGTGACCGACCACCGCGGGGTCAAACTGTCCCACCGTTAAATGTGTGACGGCATTATTAATTAAAGAGACCCACCGTGACCCGCGGCGTCATTAGAGCTTCATTAGAAAAGTTAGTGCTGTGTATTATGTGTGTCACACACACTCATACATGACAGACAACCTGAAGACACCCATTCACAAGATTCTATTAAATCTCCCACCGTGATAAGTCACGCGCAGCATCCCTCTCACTCCCAGCAACGAGTCCGCAGCGGGACTAAACTTACATGAGGACTGTAGTCTGTGATCTCCTGGTACGCGTGTTCTCTCCGGTCCGCTCAGTCAGTGCGCGCAGCAGCAGCCTGCCGTCCCTTTGGTCACAGAGGGTGTGTTCGGTGTGTGGCCGATGGGTATGTGTGTGCTGCTGCAGCGAGGTCCCGGACCTCCCTCCCCACGCGCAGTTTTGGTGGGGGGAAATGGGTGTATTGGTTGTGCTGGTGGCGTAAAGGAGAGAGAGGGGGAGAAAAAAAGAGATGTTCCCTCCGCTCTTTCGCTCTTTCCTACCTCTGTCTCCTCGGTCTCTCTCTTTCTCTCTTTCTCTCTCCCTGTCCTCCACCGTGAGAGCCTTAATTGGTAAACGGGTAAAAGAAAAGAGGTGATGGGGGAGTGACTCTCTCTCTCTCTCTCTCTCTCTCTCTCTCTCTCTCTTTCTGCTCTGTGCCTCTTTTTTAACATGGGTGACGTCATGACCGCGCCTTCGGGATTTCAAAGGTATGATGTGACCGGCCTGTGCAGAGCCCCTATCTCTACCATCTTCTTTCTATTTTACCCAGTGTGTGTGTAAGCGTATGTGCGCGCGTGCGTGTGTGTGTATGTGAGAGAGAGAGAGAGAACGAGAGGCAGGTCCCCACACCTCTGCCCTCTCTTTCCTGTTATGTTATTGTTCAGACTAGTGATGGACTGTAATGTAATGTAGAGAATATGGGGAGCTGAGTTTCTCTCTGTTAAACCCTACTAACCTCTGCAGAGTGTATGTATGTGTGTGTGTGTGTGTGTGTGTGACAGAGAGAGAGATAGATGGATTGTGTGAGTGTATGTGTGTGTGTGTTTGAGTGCTCTCCAGCTGAGCATTGGCTCAGGAAACAAGAATGTTCGGCCTCTGCTGTGCCCTGTGTGCTTACAGTTCAGCAGTCTGGTGGGAGGACGGAGGGAGAGGAAGAGGAAGAGGGGAGGCTGTGGGGGAGGTGGAGTGAGTGGGGAGATTAAAGTGAGAGTGGAGGGGAACAGGGAGGGGTGACAGATCGAAGAAGACATTAACATCTTTTGAATATTATATTTCTCAGTTCACTTTTAATGTAATTGTGTTTTTTTTAGAAACCTTAAAGGAATAGTCCCATATTTTGGATAACAGCCTGCACTGTGTTTCAGAGAGGTCGGTGAGACTTGTTGACTTCATAGCAAAATGTAGAGGTGCTGGTAGACAGATGTTTTAACACTAAACAGAGCCTGTCTCTTCTGTTACCAGCCTAGCTTTAGTTGTTTTAGTTTCACATTCAGGCAAAATCATAAGAGTATCAATCTTCTCTTTAACTCTCAACAGCAAAGTAGAAGGTAGTAGTAGGTTTATAAAGCTGGAAATATTCAGAATCAAAGTTAAACTAATTCAAATAAACATGTCAGGCATCACAGCAGAGACTAGCGGTTCACTGCATAGTCCACCCAGAACACTTTTGTACAGATCAAACAAACAAGCTATACGATAACATTGTTCCCTAACCTTAACCTTTCTTACGTAACCATGACTACAAAGCTCACATAAACTTAGAGAAATAGTGGGCTAAATGGAGCCCACACCACAATGTTGCCATAACCCTAACCCTAGCTGTGATTTGTAACCTATCCTTACTCTTTCTCTAAACCTAACCGAGGGATTTTTGTGCCTAAACCAAACCTTGCTGGATTAGACTTCATCGTGGACCATGTCAACCTTACTGAAGGTGAATACTGATCTCATAAAGTTACTGTTTTTGTTGAAAACTGCTCAGTAACTGAAGTACCAGCAGCTACTGTGAGGACTGGACTGTGTCCATGTTTCACAGAGTAACTTAGATCTTTTCACTGGAAACGTTTTTGATAAACAATAACTTCCTCCTCTGATGGTTTCTCGTACTGGGAGGAGAGTCTGGTGGGACCGGGCTTCAGGTCATTCAGATGATCTGTAAAAGTGACAGATTTAGTGTAACATTATACTGTCGTGTTTTATCAGGGCCATAGAAAATAAAACTTCCATGGGGGACAACCAAGCAGATACATTTTGTCTTGAATGGAGGAGCAGCATGTACAGTTGTGTGAAAAAGTGTTTGCCCCCTTCCTGATTTCTTATTTTTTTTTGCATGTTTGTCACACTTAAATGTTTAAGATCATCAAACAAATTTAAATATTAGACAAAGATAACACAAGTAAACACAAAATGCAGTTTTTAAATGAAGGTTTTTATTATTAAGGGGAAAAAAAATCCAAACCTACATGGCCCTGTGTGAAAAAGTGATTGCACCCTAAACCTAATAACTGGTTGGGCCACCCTTAGCAGCAACAACTGCAATCAAGCATTTGCGATAACTGGCAATGAGTCTTTTACAGCGCTGTAGAGGAATTTTGGCCCACTCATCTTTGCAGAATTGTTGTAATTCAGCCACATTGGAGGGTTTTCGAGCATGAACCGCCTTTTTAAGGTCATGCCACAGCATCTCAATCGGATTCAGGTCGGGACTTTGACTAGGCCACTCCAAAGTCTTCATTTTGTTTTTCTTAAGCCATTCAGAGGTGGACTTGCTGGTGTGTTTTGGATCATTGTCCTGCTGCAGAACCCAAGTGCGCTTCAGCTTGAGGTCACGAACAGATGGCCGGACATTCTCCTTCAGGATTTTTTGGTAGACAGCAGAATTCATGGTTCCATTTACCACAGCAAGTCTTCCAGGTCCTGAAGCAGCAAAACAGCCCCAGACCATCACACTACCACCACCATATTTTACTGTTGGTATGATGTTCCTTTTCTGAAATGCCGTGTTATTTTTACGCCAGATGTAATGGGACATACACCTTCCAAAAAGTTCAACTTTTGTCTCGTCAGTCCACAGAGTATTTTCCCAAAAGTCTTGGGGATCATCAAAATGTTTTCTGGCAAAACTGAGACGAGCCTTTATGTTCTTTTTGCTCAGCAGTGGTTTTCGTCTTGGAACTCTGCCATGCAGGCCATTTTTGCCCAGTCTCTTTCTTATGGTGGAGTCATGAACACTGACCTTAATTGAGGCAAGTGAGGCCTGCAGTTCTTTGGATGTTGTTCTGGGGTCTTTTGTGACCTCTTGGATGAGTCGTCGCTGCGCTCTTGGGGTAATTTTGGTTGGCCGGCCACTCCTGGGAAGGTTCACCACTGTTCCATGTTTTCGCCATTTGTGGATAATGGCTCTCACTGTGGTTCGCTGGAGTCCCAAAGCTTTAGAAATGGCTTTGTAACCTTTTCCAGACTGATAGGTCTCAATTACTTTGTTTCTCATTTGTTCCTGAATTTCTTTGGATCGCAGCATGATGTCTAGCTTTTGAGGATCTTTTGGTCTACCTCACTTTGTCAGGCAGGTCCTATTTAAGTGATTTCTTGATTGAGAACAGGTGTGGCAGTAATCAGGCCTGGGTGTGGCTAGAGAAATTGAACTCAGCTTTCCAAAGATGTGATAAACCACAGTTAATTTATGTTTTAACAGGGGGGGCAATCACTTTTTCACACAGGGCCATGTAGGTTTGGATTTTTTTCCCCCTTAATAATAAAAACCTTCATTTAAAAACTGCATTTTGTGTTTACTTGTGTTATCTTTGTCTAATATTTAAATTTGCATTTGGAAAATGCAGAAGCTTAAATTGTGGGAAATATAATGTTTTCGGTGGACTGCGCTCACATAGGAGATAATGGGCTGTGACCTCTCAACCCAGAACAAAAGAAAACACAACAAAAGACAGCTGAGGCACCGTGTGTGTTCTGGGAGGCTACGCTAAACTAGCTTAACAAACAATAACTCCGCGCATGACGGTATGCTTCGTAATTAATGGGCAATGTATCTAGTCAAAATCAATATAATTAACACAATGACAACAACAAATTCACAAGAACCAGTCACATATATTTATATGACAACAAAGCATGACTAATCAAGTGCTGCACCTGAAAACTGAGCTGCCCATTAATGCTGACGTAATTGTAGGCCAGCTAGAAGGCTCTGGCACGTCAAAGAATACGCCCAACATGTCAAAATAAAGATCTGATTGGTTGAGACTATGACAATCATCAATATCGTCAGCATTCACTTAAAGTGCAAAGGGATTCACTTGTGAGTCTGCAGGCCTCGGGCCTCTCTTCTTACCTAGAGACACAGAGGTGAGATCTGATTGGATAAAAGCTCTACTTAAAACAAGCTGCACTGGAAGCAGAGCAACTGAGGAAGACAGTAGCTGTCTTGATGAGGAAATAAGATAATGGGAAAAATATTTTTATAAATTATAATACATGTAGTGTATTTAAGAAAAATTATTAAATTGTAAAATAGCTATAACTTTGTGATCCTGTTTAGGCCAGCAGAGAAGGCCTTGCAGGCCCTGACGGCCCACCACTGCCAGGGTGTGTGGTGATCAGAGTACTAATTTCAAGGTGATTGCAAAGGAAACCAAAATGATAGGACACAATTTTGTGATTGGTGAAGTGATCCATTGCAAATGTGTATTTCTTGAATCTTGCTTTTTTTTATGCCATACTATGTATTTAATTTCTACCTCCTGAGCTGGCCACTACAGCTTTCAGGTATGAGCAAGTTAGCGACTGGTGCAACATTAATCAAAGTTACATAACGTTGACAAGCAGAGGAATGATTGTATCTAAAAGTCCTCACAGTTTGACACAATCTGTTTTTCACACGTGTACCTGCAGGGTACGTCTACCAAGCAAATCTTCATACACATAATACAGCAGCAACACACACACACACACACAAAGAGGCCTTCTTCAAAGCCAGCTGAGCTTACGTTGCAGTATGAAATAGATACACACATCCAACCCACTGCTCTCATTATTTACTCAGCCTCAAATGAGGCTTAAAGTTCACACAATTTCTTGGATATTCTGACTTTCTCTCAACTTGCTATGTTGTGTGGCCCTACAATTGAAACTTCCAAATTAGCCACGCAACAAGCTAATGCGAAGTTCAAAAGGCTAACCTGCAAAAAACAACATAAAAAAATAGGTGTACAATGGACATTGCCATTCGACTTAATGAAGCAATATGATTGGAGCTGTGGCCATTTTCATGTGTACCATCGCCATTGCAAGGGGTTAACTTTTGCATAAACTTCCATATCAACCAACTTGCGGCAAGCGGACTCACTGAGGTGAGGTTTTGCACTAACAACAAAACGAGCCGTGGACCCAGTGGAGTAGTAACGTTACCAAGTATAGAGAGCCAGCATAAATGAGTAAAAGTTGACCACTTTACCAACACACGTAGGACAGCATATATTGCCAGATGAGTGCCAACTTTGTTT